AACCCCTAAACTCCTAAACCCGAACCCCTAAACTCCTAAACCCGAACCCCTAAACTCCTAAACCCTAACCCCTAAACTCCTAAACCCTAACCCCTAAACTCCTAAACCCTAAACCCTAAGGGAGGGCTTAGGGACGTAGGCCTAATCGTGGATCAGGCTTATCGTCTTAAGCGCATTGAAGGTTTAGGGTTTAGGGTTTAGGGTTTAGGGTTTAGGGTTTGGGGTTTAGGGTTTAGGGTTTAGGGTCCAAAGCTTCAAGTGTTGAACGTGGTAGGCGTGGTTTTAGGGGTTATGTGCTTAGGACAAGTTTTAAAAGGGGCTCAGGATTTTAGGGGTTAAGGGGCTAGGATGTGTTTGTGTTTTTTTTGAGTTTGGCCCGAACTTGCCTCGCTCTCTGGCGTTTTAAGGTCCAGTTAGCGGGCGCGTGCCAGAGTTATAAATAAGCCTGCAAATTCGCGCACCCCCATGCCCAAACCCGGACCCAGCACCCAAACCGGAGGCTGCTAAACCCTAAACCCCTACACCCCACTAAATCCTAAACCCCTGAAGCCCCAATACCCTAAACCCCTAAACTCCTATCCGTAGAACCCTCAACCCTAAACTCTGTAGAAAAAAAACCCCTAAAAACCCTCAACCTTAAGCCCCTATCCCTACAACCCTCAACCCTAAAGTAGTCGTTTGTAAAGAGCTATGAAGCCTTGGGCAGGCCCTCTTGATCGGTACGCAGCTCCAGGTGAACCTGCCTCCGCTCTTCTACAGCTCCTTGACCGGGTTTAGGGTCCTAAACCCTAAACCAGCACCCCTAAGCTATGGGTTTAGGGTTTTAAACCCTAAACCCATAGTCCTTAGGGGTACTCGGACATATTTTTCGTAGTTTTTGGTTGCAAAAATCTCGGAGCAGAAGCTGAAGTTCTAAGTTTTGCAAGGAGACCAAGTTCAGTATAGCGGCCCAGGTTCGTACTTTAGGGTTTTTGGTGTTGCAGGTTTAGGGCTATGGGATCCTTCCCGCATCTTTTTGGGGGGTTCAGGCTTCAGGGTGTTTAGAACCGTTTAGGGTTTAAGGCCTGGGGTTCGGGGTGTTTGAGGGTGAAGCCTCCACCGGAACTCTAAACCCCGCATGCCACACTCTGCTTAGATCCCACAAACATACCCTCTGTAAACCCACGACCACTACCGCAACAAAAACAATCACTACTACCACTACCACTACCACAACAACAACGACACTATCAGCAACTCCTAGTACGACTGCTATCACTACCACTACCACTACCACTACTACTACTACTACTACTACTACTACTACTACTACTACTACTACATACTACTACTACTATGTACTACTACTACTACTACTACTACTACGTACTACTACTACTAGTACGTACGTACTACTACTACTACTACTACGTACTACTACTACTACTACCTCTACTACTACTACTACTACTACTACTGCTGCTGCTGCTGCTACTACTACTACTACTACTACTACTACTACTACTACTACTACATACTACTACTACTATGTACTACTACTNNCTACTGCTACGACTACGACTACTACTACGACTACTACTACTACTACTACTACTACTACTACTACTTCTACTACTACAACTACAACTACAACTACAACTACAACTACAACTACAACTACAACTACAACAACAACAACTACTACTACTACTACTACTACTACGACGACGACGACGAGGACGACGACGAAGAAGAAGACGACGACTAACAGCAGCATCAGGAGGAGTAGTAGTAGTAGTCGTCGTCGTCGTCGTCGTCGCAGTTAATGCTAGCCGTTCATGGTAGCAGCAGCTGACGTAGCAGTACGAACAGTAGCAGCAGCGGCGGTAGCAATTACTTGCGCAAGCGTGCAGAAACCATAGTTCTGAGTTCCGCGAATAGGTTTGTGGGCTGAGGGCCTGAGAGGGCAAGTTGAGGTTTCATGGCATGGGCGCTGGATGTACAAAGATTTGGGGTCTCGGGATTGGTACACTCCTTCTACTCAACACAAGTCATAGTGTCAACTTTAGTTTTTAACACCCTCACCTGTCACCTGTCTCGTCCCTGCAGTCTTTTCGTCTCCACTCCAGGTTTGCTGCTTCGCGAATTAGGCGTGGCTGCCTTGCGCGATGCACGGGCGATCGAAGGGTTTCGGGTCTCGTGCGCGGATCTAGAGTACCAGACCCTGTTCCCTACTCTACTATACCCGCACCCTCTTTGAAATAGCAAGGCCGATATATTACACCCTGAGGCCAAGTATCCACCCCACAATTCTAAGGTTTTCCAGGGTAATTAGCCCCTGCACCTGCATGTTTGTGATGTCCTTGCCTACTACAAGCGCCGGAATAATTGGCGATAGCCCATCATAGACCCCTTGTAATGGTATGATACCCGAATAAATCTGGTTCTGATCATGAAGGCTTATGAAACTGTCCTAGTACCAAAACCCAAAACCCAAAACCCTAAACCCTAAACCCTAAACCCTAGCTGCGTATTGGTTGTAGCGGCTCTTAAGTTGGTGGGAGGTGCCTCCGTGGGCGAGTTGGGGCTGGCGGACCTGGCTGCCCTGAAGAATCCTGGCCTGCTATGACCGGCTTAGGGCTTTGGGTTTAGGGTTTAGGGTTAGGGATCAAAGAGTATTTCAAGTAGGACAGGAGTGTAATTCCCTTACTTTTTGCCCTACTTGCTATGTCCCCGATCCTTTATGCCAGGTTCTCGAGCAATGAGGCAATTGCCTGGGTTTAGGGCAGTGGTTCTGTAGGCATAGTATTCAACTCGCCAGTTTATTAACAGAGCTGAGCTTTGACGGCCCGGTGGTATCCGGGCTAGTGAGTTTAAGAGGAGGACTGTACATGCTTCTTCGAAGATTTCGTCACTGAAGCTCTCAAAACTTCACTATGGATCCATAGTCTGCTCCTCTGCATTAGTAGTGGCTGCATGATACATGTTGACACCACCTGGCCCAACTAAGCCTTCAATTACATCCTCTGACCCAGAGCCCAAAACCTGAAAAATCAAACTAGACCCTACTTGTAAACCCTCAGAAGCCTAAAGACCCTTTCCCCCCCCCCCCCCCCCCCACCGAACAGCCGGCAGTCTGTAAACGCTAAAGCCTTAAACTTAGATAGCAAGTGCGAGAGAACTTCTAGTTTTCTGGCCTTAGATATTTGGTCTGTCTTGTACAGATGGAACTTTCTTCAAAACCCTAAACCCTAAA